GTGAATGTCCATCGGCATTATCACAGTTGAATTTCTGGTCATCGGTGTCTCCAGTCAGGGTTTTTTTTTGCTGAAAACATTGCTTGTACCTGAATTGCTCTTTTGGGATTTGCGATAGCATCTCAGTTTGATATTTCGCCTTTCGCTTTTTGTGAGACCTGATTGCGTACATAAAATCGATTTGCATATACATGTAAAGCTTCAGAAAACTTCAGAAATCTCCAAGAGCTTCTGAGCTTTGAAACTCGTGTAATGCAATCCGCTTTTGAATTTCATCACGGTAGTTGCAGTCACGTGTTAGGCAACGATAAAGTTCATGTGTATCAAGTTCCATTGCTAACAAAACAAGCCCAATCTTACGACAGATAAACTCAAACTTTAAAGAGCTTGCTATATTTCCTAGTAGAATAAAAAGTATTGTTTCTCGAAAGTTTTCAAGGATTGTGAACACAGTTTCAGAGCCAAAGATTGGTCATGTTACGGACAGACGAGTTTGTTACCGCTGATGGCCAGAAAAGCCCAGAATCGTTTGACGTTACAAAATAGACATGATGTGATTTATATACGCTGTTTGTTTGCATTTGGAGCAGGCATTTGAAACCATACTTAAAGAAATGAAGCTGGATTTAGATGCCCTTGAAGAAACATTCGCTTTATAACTTTAATTGGTCTTGTTTCGAGTGTACAGTCGCTTGAGCGAATAAACCATGCTGTGTTGTGTTACAGCTGTATGTCTATGTAAAATTATCGAGAAATCAGTATTGGGTGAATCTTTTGTTTTGTGTCTTGCGAAACTCAATCCTTGACTTGTTTCTCGATAGGTTAAGCTTGTTCTCGATTTTATATCAGTTATACGTGTAGTTACCTGGGGTAGGGAAAACAAAGCAAAAACAATGAAGCATTAAACGGTGCATAACAAAAGGGAAAGCTTTCAAACTAGTTAACGATTTTGCATTAACGCAGAAAACATGCGTGTGTTTTGCGTGTCCGTTGGTTGCTTATCTCTGAGCTGTACTGTAGCTATCCTTTAGTTTTCTAACAGATAGTGGATTATTGCTAGTGTATGTTTTCCCAAAGAAGGTCATATTACTGATTACACCCAATACAACCTGCTGCATCGTTGCATTCCTCCACAACTCAGTTTGTTGTTGTTTTGCTTTGTTGCATTTCATTAGGACATGACAACATGAAATTTATTGCGGCGTTATTTCTCTTTAAAGGTGTTAGTGCAAAGCAGCAAAAAAAAACAAAAGCCAAAGAAAAAAGAAATCATTACAGCATTATAGAACAAAATGCATTAAGTGACAGTTATATGGAAAATATTATAAAATGTTCGCATCCGAAAATGACTGGTCAAAATGACCAGCAAGACGAGAGTTTGACCGGTCAAATCCACGATCAGGCCGGACATTGTCCATTGACCGGCCTTTATTTTGAGCCCTGATAAGTACTTTGACTAATATATTAATAACTCTTTGATTTCAGCAGCTTTTATTCATTTCTAATGATGTCTGAAAAACAGTTTCTGAATTACTTTGACAGCACAATCAAGATCGTGAATTAAAAGGTTCGATCGATTTCAAAAACTTACCATCCAAATTTAAGGAATTAAGGAAGATGACAAAGAAACTTATTCACTCAAGCTATCTTCAGTACAGCTTTACAGAGGACGAAGCAATAACTTGCAACTCCCAGAAAATGAAAAACCACTGTTACTGCCCCGCTGCGCAGGGCATCCGAAACTTAGCATGGTGACAGAGCCGCGAAATTCACAAAAACACACGAAGTACGGCACAATTCGGCAGAAATCTTACCGAATACATGTCAGTTCAACATATTTGAAACTTATCTGGGGATGTGTTTTGCCATAAACTTGCAAATTTATCTTGAAACTTTGTCACTGAAACGAGAAAACGTCCCAGTACCCGGTGTTCTTAGATTATTATTGCGAAAAACTGGGCACTGGCCAGTGCATGATATGAAAATCTTTGCCTTTGGTACGTGCACATTTCTGAGCTCATTGTTGTTAGAGGAGCAAATGATGATCTCTGATAAAAATTAAAAAAAAACTGTGGGAGAGAATACCAAGTCCAAATGAGATCACAAAACAAGCGGTGGTTTTGAAATCAAAATCGCCAGGTTTAAAAAGGCAACATTTATAAGTAGTCGTAGTCAGTGTTTCTGTTGTTGTTATTGCACAGGCTAACGCTCATCATTTCCCCAATCGCCAAAAATTGGAAAAATTGCCGTCTTGTGTCATTAAAAATGTTCTTGAAATCGACGCAAAACTAATTGCTTTCTAGCCCAGAAAATTTCCACGAAATTGGCCATTTTTTAGCGATTGTTTTTTGGCGAAATTTCACCGGAATTTTTCTGCAAGATTCCTGCTAAATCTGCTGTTTTTTCTGTGAATTTGTCGCTGAAAATCCCACGAAATTTGACTTTTTTCTGCGACCTATCAGAGGCCCTGTGTTATGAACGGTTTACGTTGTAAAAGTTCTTGACCTGGTCACCTTTTTTCTCTCTCCAACCCCCCCCCCAACTTCCCCCCCCCCTGGCTTTATGAACGTCAGTAATGTTCAATCTCAACCAAGAAGCGTAAAAGAACAGACAAAATGTCCGGTCATTCAAGGATTTGACAGGACAAAGCCTTTTTTTGACCAGACATTGTCCATTGACCGGCCGTTATTTGAAGCCCTGCCTTATGGCCTTTTTTATCATTGTTATGTCCATTACTTAATTTATTGCCATTAAGTTGTAATAAATAAATAAATAATCCTGTTAAATGATAATTTGTACTCCAGTTAAAATTCAATAAACGAAACAGTCATTAATCTTATCGTCTCTTAATGATGTGAAATCCCTGTGATGTTTCCCCTCGCTTAATACCCAAAGCTCTTTATTACTACACATGCTTACAGAAATAGCGGGAAGCTTGTGTATAAAGGGAAAGAGGGACTTAACAGAGGCGTGTATTTGGAGGTTTTCCCATGCTTTGATCTTATTAGGCGTGTAGTGAGTTCATCAACAGGTTAAAACCACCTGTTTTAAGATGAGAAAACCTCTCTATAAACATCACAAGCAAAAATTACAGGACAGCCCTCTTCTTAGTTGTTCCTAACACATTCTTTTTTTCAAATGATATAAAAAATGAATGAAACAAAAAGGCGCAAACTCACTTGCATGCTTACCTTTTTTCGAAGTATGACTACCATCGCAGTGCCATTAGCGTTATAAAGTCCATTATAAACTAAGAATTATAGCTCAAAAATGGCTTTTCCCTCCCTTGGGTGTGTTCTCAATTTAGGACATCTATAGCCCTTGAATAATGTAAAAAAGAATGCAATATTGTTTAAATTATTTCAATACAAGGTTTTTGTCAACTGAAAATTAAAATTACTCAATATCCTGATGGATTCCGTCTTAATTTTTTTTTTAGGTTTTTACTTTGAAACAATTTGCAGAGCTCAAAATTAAAAAAATCCTCAGGTCACCTTTTGGCGACCAACTGTAGAAATGTATAATGTAAATGATGTAGCTCATTAAGTATCAGGGCTTCTGATATTTAGCGCGGATGCAAGGCTGCAAAATTCCATGAAATTCTCAAAAACATGCAAAATACATCGAAATTCACTAGAAATCGTATCAAATACATGTTAATACAACATATTTTAAACTTATCTCGGCTATTGGGGCTGTCTAATTGCCTTAAACTTGCAAATTTATCTTGAAACTTCATCACCACAATGAGTGGTAGTCCCAAAACTACCAGGTGGAGATTATGTTGCTAAAAACTGGGCATTAGTCATTATGTTAAAAGCTTAGCCATATGCTCATTTCTCAAGCACTTTGTTGTTACAATAGCAAATGATCATCTTTGTTTAAAAACATTCAACATGCTAGTCAAATCAGTGCAAAATCGAAAAATCCCCACAAAATCGGCAGTTTTTTTACTGGTTGTTTTTCAGTGAGGTTAGCCCCGAATATGTTTCTGAAAATCCCGCGATATTTGACTTTTTTTTGGGACCAATCAGAAGCCCTGTAGTATGGTGCAATCCATCAGATATATTGCGAACAGAAGTCTGTATAAATTTGGAGGTAAACTGGCTTTGTTCATGCAATTTGGCACATTTTATATGACGAAAGCAAAGCAAGATATGATGAAATGTTTGTTTTCACTTTACTCTTTTACTTTAAATCTAAATCATAGAGAAACCTGGTCGCTAGTAACCAGAATTTTTAGTCGCCAAGGAGAAAATGTTAGTCACATTGGCACCTTATCAGTTGCAATTTTGAGCCCTGATTTAATGACCAGCTTCTAGTTGGTGTGCTAGCTCAGTTGGTTAGAGCACTACACTGGCCTGAATTATTTCAGGCTTTCTACCTTTAAATTATTATTTTTTTATTCACGTTTTGTGATGGGAACAAACAAAATTACTCTGGCAATGTACAATAATGTGTTAAAAACCTATTAAACTTGAAACTACACTGGAAATAAAATTCTGAGCTTTCAGCTGTGGTATAGAACCTTCTTTACAATGGATTGAACATGCCCTGTGGCTGGTGACTTGATCAGTCTGGTCCAGATCACTGGAGCTTTTTACCCTCCCCATATGGGCTATGGGCTCTGATACACATATAAATGGCCTCTTTTATCCCTGGTTGACCAGTCAGGATCTCTATCCAAAATCTGTGTAGTCAATGTGAACATCAAACAAACCAGGAAAAAATTAATTAATATGAAATACCTGAAATTTGGGTTAGTTTTTGCTGTTGTTTACTGGCCTGGAGCTCTAAGGAGCCTGCCCAAACCTAAGGGCGGATTCCTTTGCAGTATACATAACCCATATAGTCTGTGAATATGTTTGTTTCAATTTTTCAGTTTTAAGTGTCAAACAAGCAAATGATATTGCATTTGATTGGGTGCTAAGGGACTCTAAAATGGTTAGCAATGTTATTTTCACTTGCCTTTTGTCTAACACTACAGGGACGTCATCAGAATGTCTTGGGATAGCTATATTGATAACCTTATCGCACAAACTAAAGATGCTTCAGGAACTGCTCATTCTGACAAAGCCTGTATAATTGGATTGGATGGTGGGGCTGCTTGGACAAGTGCTGGTCATGGATGTGCATTAAAGGTAAGAACAATTCTCTCAGCTGTGGAATATGAATGTAAGTAGGTGTGATTGCTGCATCATTAAAATAGGGTCACATTTAATAAAGGTTGGATGCCCATTGCAGTGTCAGGGGCTTTTACCAAGGCAAACTGAGTGCTGCTCCCATGCCCTACTGCCTTGAGTGTCTGTGCCATGGTGGCCATCCTACATGTATTACTAGCCCCTCCCCCCCCCTCCCCCTCCCAACCCAGTTGAAGAGTTAACTAGGACTCTCCCTCCTCACATGAGAAAGAAAAAGTGTTGACATACATTTAATAATTGCTAATAGGCCATTTGTACAATGATGTCACTTTACTACTACGACCAGAATCCTTCAGGATTTTGCTTTCTTGTGGAAATTAGGGCTTTTGTTTTTGAAACCTCACTGGGAATACCAAATTAGAATATGAAAGGAAAAATGAAAAGGATTCTGGTCGTAGTAGTAAAATGACGCCATCATGCAAATGTCCTATTGCCTTCAAAGCTTTTGTATTTCTGCTTCATGATCTCAGACTATTTCATTTTAGTCTTGAAAGTCCTTTCTAAATGTCATATTATCTTATACATGTACTTCTTTAGAAAACCTCAACCACAATAGCTTACAACAGTTAGCATACTGTGCCGATTTTGCCTTAAACAGTGAGTTTTGATATCAAGTCTCGCAGGCAGCTGTTATTTCGATTATTATGCAGAGTGTTGTGTGTTACCCAAGTAACAGCAGCTTAGGAGTCTATTGAACATGTGTTGATGTATTAATTTATCGGGCATCATTCTTTCTTACCTGTAGTTGCAAGGAACAGAAGGAGCAAACATAGCGAGGTGCTTTAAAAGCAAAGATTTTACAGCTTTTCAGGCCGGTGGTATCCTTGCAGAGGGGACCAAGTATCAATTTCTGAGAGAGGAAGACGGGAAGTTAGTTCTTGGAAAGAAAAAAGACCATGGAGCCATCACTCTGCAATGCAGCAAGACAGCAATTGTCATTGCTCACACTGCTGAAGGTTGCCAACAGGGTAATAGTAACAAAGGTGTAGGCGTAATTGCAGACTACCTGGAAAGCTTGGGCATGTAACGGAAATTGTAAATTTTCTCACAATATGTTGATAACCTTGGGGGGAGAGTGCTTCCTTTTGAGCCACGTTACCAGTATTTCATCAAGTCCTTGCTGTAGATGAGATTTATAGTGTGTGAAGCAATGTGTTGTGTTAAAGCCTTTTCCTAGTTTTCGTATTGTGATGATAGCAAAATGTGGAACAAGTTATGAAACTGTTTTATTATCTTGTTTTAAATAAGCAAATCAACCGTTTCATGATCTTTTGCATTTGGTTATAGCTTAAACAGCGACTTCCAATTGAAATGAATAAACTTAATTCTTCATCTTTGGGCAGCTCTTGTTAATTCTTTAGTCTGCCGAACAGTAGCCTCCCACGCAGGCGTTTTTAGGGGAGCTCGTATTTCGTTCCTCCCCACAAACGCCGTTTGTGGGGAGGGACGAAATACGAGCTCCCCTAAAAACGCCTGCGTGGGAGGCTAGCCGAACAGCAGATGGGACTTGCCTCGCCGTCCACCCTCGCCCACCTCGGCCAACCAGTCGATTATACAGTTGACTCCAGATACCTCGAACCAAAGTCGATTTCCCCTGTATTTCCCTTGTAGATTTACTGTAATTTTACCCTTCGATAACTCGAACCTCCCACTAACTCGAGGTAATATTTGTTTCCCTTCAGATGATTTTTATATAATTTTACCTTGTAGTAAAGTCCGAAACATTGAATTTATTTCAAAACAACCACTTCAATTTTTTTTGTCTTTACTTTTTTGTCACTACAGTTGAAATTCAGTGTTCATCCTTGAAAATAAAACCAAGGTTTGCATTCCCTCCTCATCCATTTGCTTATTTGCTTATTTCCGGTTATTTACTTCGAACTCCTACTTCGAACCATTTACGTGTAGATAACAATTATTCACCGAAGTGGAGGTGGCTAGTCCTGGATATTTACCGAACTGCGAAGCAGTGAGGTAAATATCCACGACTAGCCACCGACACTGAGGTGAATAATTGTTTTAGTATATACTAAAACAGTGAGATCATTGAGCACAAAAATGATGATTTTTAACTCAAATACTGTTGCCAACGATTACAATTTTGGCGCGTAATGACCGGGCGGCTGCGGCCGTCGCTTTATTCTTGCCGACAATTAAAACTTTTCAAGGCATTTGTTTAGCTCTTGCGGGGAAATTTCTTCAAAAGGAGTTGTGAATTCTTTCTGTATTTAAAATCATTCTATAAAAAAAGATTATTAAATTTAGTTTGAAGCTTATTTATGAACAACTCAACTAAATAAAGTAAGCAAGACTTAAACTTAATTTGCATTTGTAAACAAAAACTTTTTCACCAGTTTTATCGATAAATTAGTGTCAAAAAGACAAAGCTTTACCTGTTAAAACTTCCAATCCGAACTTCGTCACCTTCTTCGTGTATT